GGGGCTGGAAGTCCAAGACCAGGGTCCCAGCATGGTCAGGTTGTTGGTGAGGGCCGCCTTTCTGGTTTATAGATGGCTGCTTTCTTGCTGTATCCTCACCTGGCAGAGAGAGAGATCATCTCCCCAGTGTCTCTTATAAGAGCACTAATTCCATTCATCAGGGCTCCATTTTCATGACCTAATTATCTCCCAAAGTCCCCACCTCCTAATACCATCAAATTAGGGATTAGAGATTCAACATACAAATTTTTTTTTTTTTTTTTTTTGAGATGGAGTCTCGCTCTGCCACCCAGGCTGGAGTGCAGTGGCGTGATCTCGGCTCATTGCAACCTTTACTTCCCAGGTTCAAGCAATTCTCCTGCCTCAGCCTCCCAAGTAGCTGGGACTATAAGCATGTGCCACCATGCCCGGCTAATTTTTGTATTTTCAGTAGAGACGGGGTTTCACCACATTGGCCAGGCTGTTCTCAAACTCCTGACCTCAGGTGATCCACCCACCTTGGTCTCCCAAAGTTTTGGGATTACAGGGGTGAGCCACCGCGCCCAGCCTCCTTTCAGCCCTTTTCTCCAAGCGTCCTCACCTCTGGTTGGGGTCTTGTAATAAAGACCCCTTTACCATCGTAGGCAGCCCAAACAATTGAACAAGTTGGTACCAACTTGAAGAGATAGGAGGCTGGAATCCCCGTTGAATGATGGACAGTCCTCTTCAAGGATATGTATTCGTTATTTCACCAGCAACCTGGGGTGGTGGAATCCCCAGACCATTTGCCACCTAGTTCACTTGAGGCAAAATGCAGCAATCCAACTGGCCTCTGCATTCTCATCGATGAAATGAGAATGATAACCATGGTGGTAAATGTGATAAGTTGTCAAAGGTGTTTCATTGTAAATTGCCTAGGGGGTGTGTGAACTGACACACACACACACACACACACACACGTATATATATATAAAATTTTATTTTTTTTTTGAGACAGAGTTTTGCTCTTGTTGCCCAGGCTAGAGTACAATGGTGCAATCTCGGCTCACTGCAACCTCCACCTCACGGGTTCAAGCGATTCTCCTGCCTCAATCTCCCGAGTAGCTGGAATTACAGGTGCCCGCCACCACACCCAGCTAATTTTTGTATTTTTAGCAGAGATGGGGTTTCACCACATTGGCTAGCCTGGTCTCGAACTCCTGACATCAGGTAATTCACCCACCTCAGCCTCCCAAAGTGCTGGGATTACAGGCGTGAGCCACCATGCCCAGCCTGACATTTATATTTATTCGGCCTTCACTACATGGTTTACAGACATTATTCATTATAATCCCCCACCCCCCGGCATTTTTTTTTTTTAGATGGAGTCTTTGTCACCCAGGCTGGAGTGCAGGGATACAATCTCAGCTCACTGCAACCTCCTCTTCCAGGGTTCAGGGGATTCTCCTGCCTCAGCTTCCTGAGTAGCTGAGACTACAGGCGCACTGAATCACCATGCCTGGCTAATTTTTGTATTTTTAGTAGAGACAGGGTTTCACCATGTTGGCCAGGCTGGTCTCAAACTCCTGACTCAAGCAAGCCTCGCACCTTGGCCTCTCAAAGTGCTGGGATTACAGGCGTGAGCCACCACGCTTGTATTTCATTAAAATCCTTAAGTCAAACTTTATGTGGATGCGGTTTCCTGATCCTTATCTTACAAATGAAGAAATTGATACTGCTAGATTGCCAGGGTCACACAGCCAGCGGGTGGCAGGGCTGGGGACCTTGGTCCTCCTAATATCACCTTAGTGACACAAGCACCACACCATCCAGCCTCCTTAAATTGCCAGGCGCAGCCTCTCACTGCCTCTAGCTCATGATCTTGCATCTATCCCAGGTGTCTTAAGGGTTGATTTCCCACTAAACAGCAGAAATGTCTGATGGCCACTGAATTCTGTTTTCAGATCTGGGCAAAAGCATCTACCTTCTTCATGCCAGAGGCTTTCTTTTTTCTTTTTTTTTGGCAGGGTCTTGCTCTGTCACCCAGGCTGGAGTGCAGTGGCGCAATCACGGCTCACTGCAGCCTCAGTCTCCTGGGCTCAAGCAAGCCTCCCACCTCAGCCTCCTAAGTAGCTGGAAACACACACCTGTGTCACTACACCTCACTAATTTTTTGATTTTTTCTAGAGATAGGATCTCACAGGCTGGGTGTGGTGGCTCGTGCCTGTAATCCCAGCACTTTGGGAGGCCAAGGTGGGTGGATCATTTGAGGCCAGGAGTTCAAGGCCAGCCTGGCTGACATTGCAAAACTCCATCTCCATTTTAAAAAATACAAAAAAATTAGCTGGGCAGGGTGGCACATTCCTGTAATCCCAGCTACTCAGGAGGCTGTGGCATGAGAATCGCTTGAACCCGGGAGGCAGAGGTTGCAGGGATCCAGGATTGTGCCACTGCACTCCAGCCTGGGTGACAAAGTGAGACCTTGCTCAAAAAAAAAAAAAGAGAGATGGAATCTCACTGTGTTGCCAAGGCTGGTCTAGAACTCCTGAGCTCAAGGAATCTTCCCACCTCAGCCTCCTGAAGTGCTGGGATTGCAGCTGTCAGCCACCTATAATCCCAGCACTTTGGGAGGCCGAGGCAGGAGGAGGATCACTCGAGTCCAGGAATTGGAGACCAGACTGGACAACATGAGACCCTATCTCTACAAAAAATTTTTTAAAATAGCCAGGTGTAGGGATGTGTACCTGTGGTCTCAGCTACTTGGGAGGCTGAGGCCAGAGGATCATTTAAGCCCAGGAGCTGGAGAGCTGGAGGCTGCAGTGAGCCATAATCATGCTACTATCCTCCAGCCTGCACAAGAGAGTCAGATCCTGTCTCAAAAAAAAAAAAAAAAAAAAAAAAAAAAAAGGTAAACACAGCTCCGGGTTCTTGTCTTTCCTAGAACTTACCACAGTGCATTTAAATATTTAAAATTTGGTTCACTGTTATATCCCCAGTTCCTAAGATTGTGTCTGGCACAAATGCTTGTGGAAGAGATAACATTTGTAAAGATAAAGTCTGCCAAGCTCACAGCTGATCTGAAATAAATTAAAAATATATACACATGTGTGTATGTGTGCACGTGTGTAAAATGAAGAGGATTAAGAAGGAAATCTGAGAGAACTCTTGAGAGAGTCCTCCAGGAATTAATGGGGCAGGTAGTGATAAATGAACACTCTTTGGATCATGAGCTATGGATTCAAATGTAGGCTTTTCACCAGTCCTGAGGCAGTATCATGGATATGCATAGCTGGTCTGTCTGGTTAATCTCCCCTTACCTAGTAGGTCTTCTAAGCAGCCTCAACTCCTTTCTAGAAATATCCCTGGCAAAGATTCTCTCTTTGACTAAACTCTAGGCTCCCCTGAACTTTTCAACTAGGCCTTGACTTTTGGACTTCTGTGTTCATCTTTACATTGTCCAGTTTTTTGTTTTGTTTTTAGGGACAGGGCCTTGCTCTGTTACCCTGGCTGGAGTGCAGGTGGCATGATCATCACTCACTGCAGCCTCAAACTCCTGGCCTCAAGTGATCCTCCTGCCTCAGCCTCCAGAGTAGCTGGGACTACAGGCGCATGCCAGCTAATTCTTTAATTTTTTGTAGAGATAGGGGTCTCACTATGTTGCCCAGGCTGGTCTTGAACTCCTGGGCTCAAGTGATCCTCCTGCCTAAACCTCCCAAAGTGCCGGGATTACAGGTGTGAGCCACTGCCCCTGGGCCACACTGTCCACTTTTGGTAAGAATCCTGCTAAGTTGGTTTAGCTAGACTCCCCCATTCTCCAAACCTGATTGTCAATATCTTTTTTTTTTTTTTTCTTTTTTGAGATGGAGTCTCACTGTGTCTCCCAGGCTGGAGTGCAACGGCACAATCTTGGCTCACTGCAACTTCAACCTCCGGGGTTCAAGTGATCCTCCTGCCTCAGCCTCCTGAATAGCTGGGATTACAGGCACCCACCACCAAGCCTGGCTAATTTTGGTATTTTTGTAGAGACGGGGTTTCACCACGTTGGCTAGGCTGGTCTTGAACTCCTGACCTCAGGTGATCCACCCGTCTCGGCCTCCCAAAGTGCTGAGATTACAGGCGTGAGCCACTGCACCCAGCCCTGATTGTCAATATCTAATCAGGTTCCTCATTCTCCACAATTCCTCAGGTGATGTGTGATCAACTTGGCCTGTCTTCAGCCAGAATCTTGTTAGATGGGTTTAAACCAGAATCCTCTTTTATCTCTGATGCAGTTTCCTATGCATTGGCCCTCAATCAGTGGATCCTTGCTCCTTCCTTATAAATTCCCATTGCCCATGCTGAATTCTGAATTGAGCCCAAATACTCTCCGCGACTGCAAAACCCACTGCAGTGGTCCCTACACCCATCATGATGCTAATAAAGTCGGCCTTATATTCTTTAACAAGTGTCATTCAATATTTTTTAACATCCTATACATAAAACTCCAGCCAGGCGAGGTCCTGATTCTTCTCTGTGTCTCCGGTTCCCATCTGTGAGAAGGGTTTTGGGCAGCCTTTCATGAAAGCACCTGGAAGCCGGAGGGGGGGCTTTTGACACTGATGGGGAAGGGCGGAGGCGCTGGGTTTGAGCAGCATTAGCCCAGAAATGCAGAACTGCCACAGGAAACCCCCTAAAAGGCAGGACACTTTTAAAGAAAATAAAGGTGAATTCCAGGCTTGAGCTTTCGACGGGGAATGGGGCTTCTCCGTCTCGCCCACCCCCTTCTCCCCAGGTGCGCAGCCCGCGCCGCCCACCCCGGGCGCGGCGAGGCGACGGGAGCCGCGCTCTCTAGGACCCGAGGAGGAAGAGCTGCAGGGAGACGGTGCCTCCAGCGGGTGCTGCCGCGAGCGGCCGGCCGAGGGGCTGGAAATGAAAGTAAAGCGCTCCAGAGCCACATGGACGGAGCTGCCGGGGCGGCGGCGCCGGGAGCAGGATGCGGCCGCCCGTAATTAAATAACATTTACTCTTATTATTACTAATAATAATAACGTAATCATACCTCTAGTCATAGCATACCATTTATCGGGCTCGGCGCAGGCCCGCGGGGAGCGCAGCCCGGCGGAGGTAAGTGCTTGGCGCGGCCCGAGCCCCGCGGGGCAAAAGGTCGGGGCCACCGCGTCCGGAGCCGCCAGCGCGCGAGGGTTCGGGGACGCCCGGGCCGGGTTGGGCTGGGCTGAGGAAGAGGCGCGGAGAGCCCTGTCCAGGCCGGGGCCGCGCGCTGGGCCACCTGGAAAGTGGGATTTTGCAAAAAATAAATCATCTCTAAACCCCCATTTCCTTCCTCCTTTTTGGGGATCCCGGTCCCCATGCCCTGCCCCAAAGTTTCAAAGTTACCGTGCGGCCGGGGGCACCTGGCGCTGGGGAGACTCGGCCGCCCCTGCAGCCCCCAGGAGGTGTCTTGAAATTTTCGTGGGGCCTCTCTCTTCGGCGTCCGGAGCTTCTGGGGTGCCCGGATGCTTTGCCGACCCCGCGCAGAGGGTCTCGCGGGCCGGCAGAGGCGTCGCTGGCAGGGCCCCCCTTCCTTTTGTGTTCGCCTTGGCCCCGCAGCACCCGCAGTTGGAGGGGCTGCGTCGAGGGCCGGGGAGCGGGGCCGCCCGACGGGCCGCCCCTTTCGGCTGCGGCGTCCACGCGAGCCCGGGGATCCGGGGCCTGCAGCCGGGCCCGCGGGAAGGGGGCGGCAGGACAGGGGGGCGCGGTCTGGGCCTGCTGGGCAGGGGGGCGTTTCCGGTCGCAGGATCAGTCTGTAGACTCCGAGGCCTGTGGGAGGCCCGCGGCAGTCCAGGGAGTGCTAGGGGGCTGCGGATCCCGGCTCTGGCGCCCGGGGAGGGGGCGCCCTGACGGGGCTGGGGGCCTGGGGGCCGCCGACCCCGGCCTTATACCCCCATCCTGCCCGCAGCGAGCCTGGGGGCCCCCCTCCGAGCTTGCTCCCTCCTCCTTTCCCCTCCTTTCTCCTTAACTCTGTCTGTTTTCGGTATTTATAAGGCGCCTGGTTGGGGGGACTTTCACAGACAAAGCCGTTTTCCCAGGGGGAAAAATAATCATATAAAAACAGCTCACTCTGATAGAGCCCGATGGCCGTGTTGCCAACAGGGAATTGAGGGGGACGACTAGGGGGCTAGGGCCCTGCGTGGGGAGTCTGGGGGCTCGAAAGGGGGCTGGGCCTGAGTGGGGAGCTGGTGGTCACGGTTTTATTTCTCGGGTTGCTAGCTTTGGCATCAGACTTTGAACCCCAACTTCTTGCCATATTCTTCAGCATCTGCAGTTCAGCCTGATGAAAATAGCAGCATGCAGATCCTTGAATTTTCACACAAATGAGATAATTATAGTACATATAGCAACTGTGTTGGACACAAAATGCTGGCGGATGGAATCTTTAGTTCTACTACCAATACTTCCCCCACACACGTACAGCCATCCCCTCCGTGGTGGTCTTCTTTCCAAGCATGTTCACCTCCCACAGAAGTTGGACTGCAAGGTGGAAATGACACCTGGTCAACACTCAGATGGAGCATGTTTGAGAAGTGGGGAGACTTAAGGTGGGAAGAAGGAGCCTGTCCAGGAGGGATGAGATCTGTCCAGGAGACAGAGACTTTGTTGTCCCTGAGCTGGGATAAAGTTTCTGTTCCGTAGGTGCTGTGTGTTCTTAGCTGCTGGCTTTTGTATAGGTTAGACAGGAATGGAGGTTTTGGTCGATTATTCCGGGGCTAAGAAGCTTGGTGGGATGCGCTGATGTCTCGAGTCTCAGTAGGAAAGCTGAGACGTCGGTTGAGACATGGATAGAGAATCTGAAAATAATCCCTCAATCTGAAAATAATAATCCCTTAAATATCACTTTTTAGTTTATAACAAAAGGGCTTTGACATGTGTTGGCTCATCTGCCCTCCATAGCAACTGTGTCAGGTAGACATTTTCCAGATGAGAAACTTTAGGCCGAATTGTGAGTCTTGCCGGAAAGTCAGATAGCAGAGGTAGGATTCCCACCCAGTTTTCTGGCTCTGAATCGTCACCCTTTCCCAGAGTCCTGGGCCACCTTAGCAAGTTACTTTTCTTTTTTATTTTCTTTTATTTTGTTGAGACGGAGTCTCGCTCTGTCGCCCAGGCTGGAGTGCAGTGGTGCGATCTTGGCTCACTGCAAGCTCCGCCTCCTGGGTTGACACCATTCTCCTATCTCAGCCTCCCAAAGTGCTGGGATTACAGGCCTGAGCCACCCTGCCTGGCCTTTTTTTCATTTTTTATTTTGAGACAAGGTCTCACTCTGTCACCCAGGCTGGAGTACAGTAGCACAACTGTAACTCAGTCTGCTGGCTCGGCTCAGGCAATCCTCCTGCCTTGGCCTCCCAAAGGGATAGGGTTACAGGCATGAGCCACCAAACCTGGCTGCTACAAGTTACTTTCTTTGTTTCTTTTTTTTTTTTTTTTTTGACAGAGTCTCACTCTGTTACCCAGGCTGGAGTGCAGTGGCAGGATCTTAGCTCACTGCAACCTCTGCCTCCTGGGTTCAAGTGATTCCTGGGCTCAACATATTTGGATTCAAGTGAACTCCTGGGCTCAACGTATCTGCCCACCTCAGCCTCCCAAAGTGCTGGGATTACAGGCGTGAGCCACCGCATGACCATCTGCAAGTTACTTTTCAAGTGCCTCTTCTGAGATGCTGTGGGGCAGGTTTGCAACTGACTTTGTCATTTATTATCTGGCTGGAAAGAGAAACTTCACTCTAGTGAATCAATGAGAACACAAGAATTATGTATGGTGTCAGTGCAGTGGGAGTGGAGAGAAGAGAGCTCAAGGTTACCTGAAAAAGTTAGAGAAGTCTTCTTCTAGGAAGTAGAATTTGAACTTGAAAGAATGGGGAGGCTTGCCAGGGTGGGTTAGCCACAATTGCTTCTGTGCTGGAAGGTTGACTTACATTCTCTGTAATTGTTATAGTAGCTCCATGAGGGGTAGGCACTGTTAATCTCCATTTCACAGATGAAGAAATTGAAGAACACAGGATTTGTGTGCCCAGCCCAAGGTCAATCTGCAGGATTTGAATGCAGGCCTTCTTGACTCTTGAGTGTGCTCCTGACCTCTGCACCACCTTCCTCTCAGATATGTAAGCAACAACAGGGACTGGCCTGTAATCCCAGCACTTTGGGAAGCCGAGGCAAGCTGATCACTTGAGGTCATGAGTTCAAGACCAGCCCTGGCAACATGGTGAAACCCAGTCTCCACTAAAAACACAAAAATTGGCCGGCTGCAGTGGCTCATGCCTGTAATCCCAGCACTTTGGGAGGCCGAGGCGGGTGGATCACGAGGTCAAGAGATTGAGACCATCCTGGCCAACATGGTGAAACCTCGCCTCTACTAAAAGTACAAAAATTAGCTAGGTGTGGCGGTGCATACCTATAATCCCAGCTACTTGGGAGACTGAGGTAGGAGAATCTCTTGAACCTGGGGGGTGGAGGTTGCAATGAGACAAGATCATGCCACTGCACTCCAGCTTGGGTGACAGAGTGAAACTCCGTCTCAAAAAACAAAAACAGAGACCAGATGGTCTGAATTAGCAAATGCAACTAGGGTAGCACTGTCAGCAGGTTCCCCAAGACCAAGGAGTTCTCCTAAACTGGCTCTGTGTCCCAGGGCCCCGCAGGGCTGGCCCAGTGAAAGCACTCTCAATAGGTTTCTAACTGCAGAAAGCAGAATGGCAGTGGAAGGAGGACCGGTCCCTGAGCGTGGGGATTTGAGCAAGTTTGGTTCCTTAGTGCCTGCTAGGTGCTGGCTCAGCACCCTGGAGGAGCTTGGAGCTTGGGATGAGATAGATAAGGACCATTAATCTGAGCTTCCCAAGGACAGGAAGTGGGTCTGATTCACCCTCTGTGCCTCCAGCCCCAGAGGCAGTGCCAGGATGACACACTCAGCCATTGTGTTGTCAAATTGAATTATGCCCCAGCGTAGAGGAGGAAGGTTTATTTTGCCCAAGAGTGGAAGGTCTTCCTAGAAGTGCCATTTGAACATGTGAAAGATAGGTTGAAAAGCCAGAGAAAGGGTGTTCTAAGCAGACGCATTGAGATGGACAAAGGCAGGGATGTATAAAGAACAGGTCACCTGGTACAGCCACAGTCTAGTGGGCAGATATATGACTTTGAGTTCAAGTCAGGCTCTGCCATCATGATCCTTTTGATTCTCTGGGCCTCAGTTTCCCCTTCTAAAAAGGAGCCCTGAGATTTGATGATATTTAATGATAACCCATGCCTGGGGATTAGGATAAGAAACTCAGATGAAGGGAGCTAGAAGTGTTTAAAAATTTGTATTAATTTAGCAATCACTGGACCAGCAATTCTCTCTCTAGGCCCTGTTGCAAGTCCTTTTTCCTAAATTAGCTTATTTAATTTTTTTTTTTTTTGAGATGGAGTTTTGCTCTTGTGGTCCAGGCTGGATTACAATGGTGCAATCTCGGCTCACTGCAGCCTCTGCCTCCTGGGTTCAAGTGATCCTCCTGCCTCAGCCTCCCGAGTAGCTGGGATTACAGGTGTCCGCCACCATGCCGAACTAATTTTTGTATTTTCAGTAGAGACGGGGTTTCGCCATGTTGGCCAGGCTGGTCTTGAACTCCTGATTTCAAGTGATCGATCCTCCTCGGCCTCCCAAAGTGCTGGGTTAACAAGCGTGAGCCCCCGCGCCCAGCCTTTACTTAATTCTTTCAACAGCCCTACAGGGAGGCACTATAATTATCCCCATTTTACAGGTGAAGAAACTGTGGCATAGAGAGATTCCGTGAAGTGTGGAAGGGGCAGAGCTGCAGAGCCAACCCAGGATGTCTGGCTCTAGAGCTGGCCTGGTATGGGCCTGGGAAGGAGCCTCAGGGGAGACCCAAGGTTATTCAGACAGCAGGTGTGGAGGTGCTGCAGCCCCAAGCTGGAGGCTCAGCCTGGGCTGATGATGGGCTGTGCGTCAGCTCCCAGGAGCCTGCACAGAAGTCAGCTCCTTTCTTTTTTTTTGAGGCAGAGTCTCCCTCTGTCACCCAGGCTGGAGTGCAGTGGTATGATCTTGGCTCACTGCAACCTCTGCCTTCTGGGTTCAAGCAGTTCTCCTGTTTCAGCCTCCCGAGTAGCTAGGATTACAGGCACATGCCACCACACCCAGCTAATTTTTTTTTTTTTTTTTGTATTTTTAGTAGAGATGGTGTTTCACCATGTTGGTCAGACTGGCCTCGAACTCCTGACCTCGTGATCCACCCGCCTCGGCCTCCCAAGTGCTGGGATTATAGGCATGAGCCACCACGCTGGGCCTGAAGTCAGCTCCTTTCATCACATTTCACAGCCCCTGGAAAACAAGCTCGTTTTCCTTCGTCTGTCAGCACCAGCTACAGACTCCTTCCCACCGAATTCATTTCCCCCAGGGAGACTGTTTCTTTGCAGGCGTGTTGGTTGTGTTGGTGCTGTCTCCCCACCGGGCTATGGAGGCCCAGAGGGAGGGACATTCAGAACCCTTGTTCCCTTAAGAAACATCTGGTAACTTCAGTTCTGCAGCATCACAGCTCCTCAGCATCAGAGGCTGAGACACGAGCTTGGTGGTGATCGTGGGGATACAATCACCCATATAGCAGCATATAACACCCATATACCAGCAGCCCCCATATAGTTAACACTACTGTATACCAGCATCGTGCTTGACATTTCCTATGCCTTCTCTTATTGAATCCACTTAACAGCTCTTCAAGGCCGGAGCAATCATTGGCAGCTCCATCTTGTAGATGAGGAGCCTGAGGCTCAGAAAGACTAAGTAACACTTCTGAGATCACACAGCTGAGGTAGAGAAGGGAGTCACATGAAGCCACTGGCATCCGAGGTCTTAGCTGCCATGCAGGAGACAGCCTTCAAGTTACTTCCAGTTTCCTCGAAGCTCTTTTCTTACCAGTCTGGAAATCCTAACTACCACCACCATTTGTGTCCTGCTGTGTCCACAGTCTCTCATTAATTGTCATGACAGTCTTTTGAGGTAAGGTAAGAGGTGTCCCTGTTTTTCAGAAGAAAAAGACTGAGGCATCACCCCACCACTGCTCTTCCTACCGAATCCACACTGTGGTTCGGGATGGGAACAGGGTATTAGATTCCCTGAGACCAAGAACCGTGTCTTCTGATTGGTTTGCGTTACTGAAGTGCTGGGGTCGGCTGATGATCATTCCTTGAGCACTTCCTGTGAGGGCTGCAGGGAAGGTGGGGGCTCTGGCCCTCCTGGGGTTTTCAGAGGTCGCCCTGATTCAGCTACGCCCTTGCTCCCCGGAGCATCCCTGTGTCATCCCTCTCCCTCCACAGGCTGAGGAACGCAGGGCAGGGAGCCCAAAGTCCTGAATTTCATTCCCAACTCCTGTTCATGCTGGCTGTATGATGGAGGCACGATTATTTTGTCATTCTTGGCTTCTGTCTCCTTTTCTGTGAAATGGCCATACTGATCCAGTCAAATCTG